CTGTAAATCCTCTTGACATCCATGGGGAGGGGGGCTGTCAGCAAAGTTTCCCTGGCAGCTTCTTGTTGGGGTGTAAGGAGTTATCACTGGCTGCTCTGGAGTAGCTGTTGCCTGGGCGTTTGGGGTGACATTGGGGAAGGGGGGGCTTTTGGGCCGAGGCACCTCTGACTTGACCTCAGCTACAGCAGTTGCAGGGGGTGCAGGTGGCAAGGAGGGGTACGGTGGCATGTAAGGCAGCGAGGGGTCTCTTCGGGTTTCTCAGGCAGAACGGTTTTTTTTTTTTTGTCTCTGATTGGCACCTTGAGGGAGCTCTTGCTTGGGCCAGCATTATTTTATAGTTGTTTTTCAGATAGACTTTTACCCAAGGTGGGTGAGAGAGAGGACTACATCTTGCCAACAGTCAATGCAGGGAAACTGGTCTGGGTGGCCTGGATCTCCCGCAATGACGTCAAACACCTTACTAACTAGTCTCTTGTCTAGCGACCCCTCAGAGGACCACTTCATCCCAAACGGAGGCCACTCTACTTCACAGCGGGTCTGGGAGCTTTCTGGGAGTTCACTTAATACCGTAATTTCCTGAGTATGCCCTTTTGAAATTCTTTGTTTTTTGTTTTTGTTTTTGTTTTTTGAGTTGGAATCTCAGTCTGTTGCCCAGACTGGAGGGCAGTGGCCGCTTCCGGCCACCGCAGCCTCGACCTGCTGGGCTCCGGCGATCCTTCCGCCTCAGCCTTCCAAGTAGCTGGAACTACAGGCGCGCACTAACACACCTGGCTACTTTTTTTGATTTATTGTAGAGATGAGGTCTCTCCAAGTTGCCCAGGCGGATCTCGAACCCACGGGCTCAGTCAATCCACTCACCTCAGCCTCCCAAAGGCGCGGGATTGCAGTCTGAGCCACCGAGCCCGGCTTGAAATTCTTTACCATGCATTCTAAGCTTACTCTGATTGCCATCCATTTTCTCCCAGTAGAAGATGATAGTCACACACAAGGTGAGAAGGAATGGGCAGGTAAGAGGATTGGGCAGCCACTTCACCCTTCTCTAGCTGTATCCCTCGCAGGGATATTTCAGGTGCCTTCTGGCAATAGACAAGTCACTATAACCCCTGACCCTCCCCTGGCATTTATTCAACCAGGTTTTGACCCAGAGTGTCATTCTCTTACTACAGGAGATATTTCAGGTGTCTCCTTGGAATAGGCAAATCGGTATAACCCCCCCCGACCAGGTTTTAGTCTACTACAGGACTTACTCCTGCCATTTAGCCATATGAAAGTCACCACCGGCCCCAAATCTACTCTCGCCATTCAGCCGTGTGAGGGTCACCACCAGGACCAGATCAGGGCTACAGCACTCGTTTTGCCACTAGGTGACGTCTCATTTACTCACATTCACACAAGCCTCCAACTCGCCACCCAGTGCCTTAGAGTTACGGTTTCATACCCCTGTGGGATGACTCGGGCAACCCTGGGAGGTGATCAGGCTCCCCTTCTGCCTCTTGGGGGCGGGTCTACCAAATTGAACCTGGGTTCTTACCAATTTGACGATTGTGGCTCCCTTGACTGATGCCTGTGCCTCACCAGGTGCCATTATGCCTCCAAGGTCCTCACCCCAGCACGTTGGGAGGGCTAGTCCCTGTGGATCAAGTGGTCCGCTTGGTGCCAGGTGAGATTACCTCTCCTGATAACAAGGGAGGTGGAAGCACCATCTCTGCCTCTCGTTTCCCTGCCAGTGCACCAGAAATGTAGTGGGAATCTACAGAGAGAGACAAGACACCGATACTACTTTGCCAGGAAACAGCATTTATTCGAGCCAGCACCAGCTCAGCAGATTCGTATCCAAAGACTGAGCCTTGAGTGCAGGGGGTATTGCCTTTTATTTTTTATTTTTATTTATTTACTTATTTTTATGAGTTGGAGTCTCACTCTGTCGCCCAGACTGGAGTGCAGTGGCACGCTCCCAGCCACTGCAGCCTTGACCTGCTGGGCTCTGGCGACCCTCCCGCCTCAGCCTTCCAAGTAGCTGGAACTACAGGTGCGTGCTACCACGCCCAGCTAGTTTTTGATTTATTGTAGAGACAAGGTCTTGCCAAATTGCCCGGGCGGGTCTCAAACCCACGGGCTCAGGCAATCCACTCACCTCGGCCTCCCAAAGTGCTGGCTGGGATTACAGGCTGAGCCACCGAGCCCGGCTGGGTTTGCCTTTTATACAATTTTAGCTTCCTTGTCCCCCGATAAGGCTTACATATTAGTAACATACTGGCTAATTGGGTATTTCATAACTCAAGGTTACAGCAGAGTTACACTTGCACGTTACAGATGGGGGCCACATTTCTTTCTAGTATGTATCATCCAAGAAAGTTCTTACCTTATGGTGCTAGAAGAACTCTCGTTATCCTGGGAAGACTTTTATCTGATTGTACTAAGGTGGGGGGCTGCTCTGTCCTGGAAAGGCCTTTTCCTTTGGAGGCTTGGGGAAAGGGCTTCCTCCCTCAGTGGATGACCGTGAGGGTTCAAGACTTCTGAGGAGGAAGTCGCTGCAGATGCGGAACAAGGAAGAGCTAGAATCACGGAGAGCTTGAAGATGAGGCTCAACCTTTGCAATCTCATAAAGCTGTAAGTGGGTGAAGAGCTGCTGCCTATAGATACGTAAAGGGGGTTTATTGAGGCGGAATCAACTCCTGGTGAAGATGCTGTGAACATTGTTGAGATGACGACAAGAGATCCAGAAGGTTCCATATACCAGCCAGGCACAGTGGCTAAACCTGTGATCCCAGCACTTTGGGAGGCCGAGACAAGAGGATTGCCTGAGCCCAGGAGATTGAGGCTGCACTCCAGCCTGGGCAACAGAACAGGACCTTGTCTCACCAAAGGAGATTACATAAAGTTTGCTGACAAAGCAGCAGCAGGATTGAGAGGATGAATTCCCAATTTGAAAGAGGTTCTGTGATTAAAACACTAGCAAAAAACATCGCAGGGACAGAGGAACCTTATGTGAGTGAAAGAGTCCATCGATGCAGCAGACCTCATTGTTGCTGCTTTTAAGGAAGTTCGTGGCATTCCCAACCCTCGGTGGCTGCTCCCTGATCAGTCAGCAGCCACTGACATCAAGGCAAGACCCTCCCCCAGCAAAACAAGTATGACTCATTGCAGGCTCCGGTAGTCATTGGCATGTTTCAGGAATAAAATATTTTAAAAGCTACGTATGCACATTTCATCTTGGACATGATGCTGTCGCATATCACAGACTGCAGTATGGTGCAAACATCACTTCTGCTGTGTCTGTCACTGTGTTGTGGGCTCTGGGGCTGAGCCTGCAGTGTCTCAGAGGCATTTCTGTACCAAACCTGCCACTTCCCAGCTGTGGATCTTTGGCAGTCTTGACCTCTCCAGACTGACATTTTAGTTCGTCTGAAATGAGATGATCAGCCAAGATTCTTTGAGTTACAAGTCTTAGAAACATCTAGACAAGTTCCAACAATAAATAAAGGGAATGTCCTTGGCCCTGCAGGTACAGTGCCGTCTCAGCTCATGTGCCTTCCCTCTCCTTGCCCAGCCCCCATTTGTTTTAGTTTTTCTGTGTGCCAGCTTCCTCAGGGAGAGTTCTCCAGGTTGTACACCCGGCCCCAGTGTACTTTTCCCTTCTAGTCCCTTCCGAGTCCAGCCTGTTCAGCTGTCCACAGAGACTGTCCCAGTTCCAAAGTCCCTGGACAGAGTCTCATCGACTGAGCCCAGCCAATGAATACACTTACCCTATTTGGATCAGCTGTGGCCCGTGAGAAACAGTCACACTCAGGATCATGGATAAGGAGGAGGCCCTGACAGCATGTGCAAGTGACATTTGGGGGTCTTAGACAGGGTCCCAGGAATTGGTAGATCTGTTTCTGGAATTCGTTATTCCTGTGGGTTGAGACTGATGGATGCTGAGACCTGTCTTAAATTTCGGTTACCAAGGAATACAATACCTCTTGTCTGGAGAAATCGATTTTCCTGAAGAATTCTGTGGTCTGTGTTACATGCTCCAGCTGGGAGCTGTTCTGAATCACGCTTTTTAAATATGCTTTTTCAGCTGAACTCCGTGACTCAGCCTGTAATCCCACGCTTTGGGAGGCTGAGGTGAGTGGATTGGCTGAGCCCACAGGTTCGAGACCCACCTGGGCAACTTGGAGAGACCTCATCTCTACAATAAATCAAAAAATTAGCCGGGCGTGGTAGCGCGCGCCTGTAGTTCCAGCTACTTGAAGGCTGAGGCGGAAGGATCGCCGGAGCCCAGCAGGTCAAGGCTGTGGTGGCCGGAAGCGGCCACTGCACTCCAGTCTGGGTGACAGAGTGAGACTCCAACTCAAAAAAATAAATAAATAAATATGCTTTTCTCTTATGAGATTCCTTTTCCCTATTTGTCACTTGTTTTCCCGATAATTTTCCAATCCTCCGCTGTAACTTTGTGTATAAGAAGCACAGAGAATTTATCAGAATAAAGCGTACAAGCAGGAGAGTCAGGAATGTCCCATTTTATTTTATCTTTTTTTTTTTTTTTTTTTTTGAGTTGGAGTCTCACCCTTTTGCCCAGGCTGAAGTACAGTGTCATGCTCATGGCCACCGCAGACTTGACCTGCTGGACTCAGGATCCTTCCACCTCAGCCTTCCAAATAGCTGGAATCACAGGCGGGTGCCACCACACCCAGCTAATTTTTTGGTTTATTGTAGGGATGAGGTCTTGCCAAGTTGCCCGGGCTGGTCTCGAACCCGTGGGCTCAGGCAATTCTCTCACCTTGGTCTCCCAAAGTGCTGGGATTATAGACATGAGCCAGAGTGCCTGGCAAATGTCCCATTTTAAAAGCCCCAGTTGGAGCCACAGACTCTTCCTGCATTGGTCTTACTTCTTACTCTTGGAGGCCCCCTGCTGTGGTAGTGGGAACACACTCCTCGAAGGCAGGTGGAGGATTGCACCTGTGTCCAGCTAGGTAATGGCTTCTCACCCATCTGTCTCTCCTAACCATCTGCAGACGCATCCAGAGTATGACCCTGCACGGTGTTTTGCCTTTGTTCACGACCTGTGTGATGAGGAGCGGAGCTACCCTGTGCCAAGGCACAGTCTCGATGTCATCGTTCTCATATTTGTTCTTTCAGCCATTGTTCCAGACAAGTAAGTTCTAGGTCCCTTGAGTAGCATCCCAAAAACAGCTTTGGTCAGGGACTTTGATGTCAGAATCAGGCTTGGAAAAGAAAGGGTTCTGTGGGCATTTTCGACATGAAGCTGCCATACTGTCCACTGTGATGTGAGCTTCCCAGTTTATCTTGAAGCCCAACTTCTGTTTCAGCGTCTTAACATCTGCTTGCTGACTGCAGTGGTCAGTTCTTTCTTCTTTTTTTTGTTTTTTGTTTTTTGAGTTGGAGTCTCACTCTGTCGCCCAGACCGGAGTGCAGTGGCCGCTCCCAGCCACCGCAACCTCGACCTACTGGGCTCCGGCAATCCTTCCGCCTCAACCTTCCACGTAGCCGGAACTACAGGCACGCGCTACCACACCCAGCTAATTTTTGATTTATTGCAGAGATGAGGTTTCGCCAAGTTACCCGGGTAGGTCTCGAACCCACGGGCTCAGGCAATCCACTTGCCTCAGCCTCCCAAAGCGCAGGATGACAGGCTGAGCCACCGAGCCCGGCTAGTTCTTTCCATTGTTGTGGTTTAACATGGCAGAGCATGGGGGAGCTGTTTCTTATAAATGAGGATGTAGGGATTCCTGTTGATCTCTTTTTCTTTTTTGAGTCAGGTCTCACTGTTTCCCAGGCTGAAGTATAGCTGCATAATCACGGCTCACTGCAACCTCCAGCTCCGGGCATTTGTCACCACCCCTGGCTAATTGTTTTCCTGTGTTCAGTAGAGATGGAGGTCTCACTTTGTTGCCCAGGCTGGCCTTGAACTCCGGGCCTTGAGTGATCCTCCGGCCTCAGCCTCCCACAGTGCTGAAACAGCAGGCTTGAGCTACCATGTCCCGCCCTATTGATAGTATCACAGTATGCTATTTCAAATTGGGTGCCACAGCTTTTAGAGAACATCTCCTTATTGGCCTTTGAATGCTTTAAATAAAACAAGCTTGTTAACAGCATAAAATTTACATTTAAGCTTAACTAAGGTGATCTCCGATGCTTACATTTTTGGGAAAACTGCAGAATCCTATAAAGGCAGGTTTAGATATTATAAAAAGAAAGTTAGATGGAGCACCCGCCAGATGCCATTCAGACACCTGTGCAGCGGTAGCCAGTAGCCCATTGCAGCTCCTGCCTCCAGGGAGCAGAGTTGGCCCGAGGAACTGGTGAAGATTCAGGTACCACTGACCACTGCCACAGCAGCCCTCACCACTGCCAGGCCCCAGTGAGTTGAGCAGACCCGGTGGTTGTACCATGGTCTGGCAAGCCACACCCCAGAGTCAGTCAGGGTGGCTTCATACAACCTTTGAGCATCTCATGTGGAACATCAGTGCCATCCGAAAGGGGATGGCGTGAATGGGCATTAGGGCCACGTCACTTGGTGTCAGAGAGGCAGGCCACAGGATGGCCTAGTGTAACCCTGGCGTGTCTCAGAGCCCTGGGACCTGGGGCTGCCTCCCTGGAGGAGCTTGGGTGATTGGCCTTCCAGAGCTGACATTCTCTCTGGGACAGCCCTGGTCTTCTGCTTGACAGAGCTAGCAGGAGTGAGAAATGGAAGCATCTGGGCAGCCCAGAAAGCCTGGTATGGTTCTAAACTCATATAACTGTAGATGGTTAACTACTGCAAACTGTTTGAAAATCAACATGGACTAAAAACGATAAAGTTCATTATTCAAGCTGGGTGCAGTGGCACATACCTGTAGTCCCAGCTACTCAGGAGGCTGAGGTGGGAGGATTGCTTGATCCCAGGAGTCCAGCTTGGGCAATGTAGCAAGACCCCCATTTCAAGGTAAATGTGAAAAACTCATTATTAAAAATGTAAATAGGCTTCAGAATGATTTGTGTACATTTGTAGCATTTATACTTCTGAAATCACAAACACTGAAAGCTGCTCCCAGTCGGGGAGCCCTGCATGAAGGTGTGCAGGAGTGAACATGGGATCCTCTGTGGTGTCATTTGATGCAGTTGTCATGTAAACAACACAGGTACATTCTCAGTACCAAAGAGCTCAGGTCTGATGGGGCAGGCAGGTGAGTCATTGCAGCCCCACCCTGGATGCAGGGCTTTGGCTCAGAGAGCCATGGGAGTACAGGGTCGGGTGGCTACCCGGGACCCGGAGGCCATGAGCCACATTCTGACAGCAGAAGCAGGCTGTCCTCGTGGGACTGAAGGCAGTGGTCAAGGCCACAGCTGCGGGCAGCAGCCAGCACGTCCTTCATTCTGACCCAAGCAGGATCCAGGGTTGGTTGGGAGTAAGGAGGAAGCCCACCGGCTTCCTGGGGTGTGCTGCCAGCGCGAGCACCCTGTCCCTGGAGACCTAATCACCCTGCTCTCCCACAGGATGCAGAAGGCCCTCAGCAGGCTGAGCCAGCTCCTGAGGCCTGGTGGGGTGATGCTCCTGCGAGACTACGGCCGCTACGACATGGCGCAGCTGCGCTTTAAGACAGGTATGTCACGCTGCAGTCAGAACTAAGGGTCTGGCTAAGCTTTGGTGTGGCCCTCTGCTCTTTGAGCGATGCCCAGGCCGTGTTTCCTGGCTTTGGCCCCCTCCCCTACCTTGGGGAGGTGAATTGCCTCTTTTTTTTCAAATTTACTTTCTAAATAAACTATATATATATTTTTTTTTTCCTTTTTTTTTTTTTTGAGTTGGAGTCTTACTCTGTCGCCCAGGCTGGAGTGCAGTGGCATGCTCACGGCCACCCCAGCGTCGACCTGCTGGGCTCCAGCAATCCTTCTGCCTCAGCCTTCCAAGTAACTAGAACTGTAGGCGCACACTACTATGCCTGGCTAATTTTTTATTGTAGAGATGAGGTTTTGTCAAGTTGCCTGAGCTGGTCTCAAACTTGCGGGCTCAGGCAATCCACTCACCTCAGTCTCCCAAAGTCCTGGGATTACAGGACTGAGCCACCGAACCTGGCCAATTTTTCTTTAAACCAAGAGTTTGTGTCAGGGAGGAGGGAAAGCGAGCAAGTTCTTGTCATTAGACAGAATTGCGGAGCTGAGGATGTGTGTGTCACTGGAGCTGCGTAGCCCCCTCCAAGGCCCCTTCCTCTGGGGAGAAAAAGCGTAGCTTCCTGCAGGGCACCCAGGGCCAGGGAAGGCTGCTGCCCTCCACCAGGAGGCTAGTGGCATAGTTCACATCTCATTACCAATGAAATTCAAAGAAGGGCTCTAAAGTCTGTGGTTTTCACCCTGTCACTCTGCAGGTCAGTGTCTGTCTGGAAATTTCTACGTGAGAGGTGATGGTACCCGAGTGTACTTCTTCACACAAGGTATGAGGTGCTCGTCTTTTCATAGTCTCAGGACACTTTGAGAAGGAAGGTCAGCGGGCCCCTCCTGCATTCGACTGTCATGGCCCCCTTCCCAGGCCAGGCTGTCCAGGCCACCTGGAGCCACCCTCTGGCCGCAGGCAGCTCTGGCCTATGCCTGCTTGCTTTGCCCTCCCTTTCTATTACTCTGTCCCCTGGGAAGTGTCCAGTTTCCAAGATCTGTCTCCAGTCTGGCATGTCCCCTGCAGCTGGGCGGTGCCTTGGCATGTCTGGCAGGTGGGTCATATCCCCTGGGTGCGGGTGGCCTCCAGGCTGCTCTCCTGCTCCTGCCCACCTGGCCTCAGGGCTGCTTGCTCCTGGCAGTGTGTTGGGCCACATTCTTCCTTGAGCCTTTGCTTAAGTTAATGACTCCCCCTGCCCAGCATACCACTCTGCCATACATATGTGTGGGTTTTTGCATGTGATCGCAAGGTGTTCATTGGGCCCTGGAGGCTACATGTAAACCAGAGGTTTAGAAAAGCCCTGGGCCGGGCATGTTGGCTCATGCCTGTAATCCCAGCACTTTGGGAGGCTGAGTGAGAAGATTGCCTTGCCCGCAGGTTCGCAACCAGGCTGGGCAACTTGGCAAGACCTCATCTCTGTAATAAATAAAAAAAATTAGCCAGATGTGGTAGCGCATGCCTGTAGTCCCAACTACTTGTAAGGCTGAGGTGGAAGGATCACCGGAGCCCAGCAGGTCGAGGCTGCAGTGGCCGTGTGTGTGCAACTGCACTCCAGCCTGGCAACAGAGTGAGATTCCCACTCAGAAAAAAAAAAAGGAAAAGCCCTGGCCTGCGTTTACCGTCTGGAAATCATTCCATTAGCGAGCTCTGAGAGGAGCCCCTCGGGCTGCAGGACCCCTCCTGGGCTGGCTTCCTGACCTGACAGGCGCTGGCCCTTACCTAGCCGGCATGGCACTTATGATGAGCAGTCTTGCGGCAGTGCTGGAAGCCCAGCACGACTCCATAGCTGGTCTAATGGGACGTGGTGCACAGAAGTGCCTTTTCTCCAGGGGAAAGGACATGCACATCTTTTCTCTTCCACCCTAGAGGAGCTCGACACACTCTTCACCACCGCGGGGCTGGAGAAGGTCCAGAGCCTTGTGGACCGCCGGCTGCAGGTGAACCGGGGGAAGCAGCTGACCATGTACCGGGTCTGGATTCAGTGCAGATATCGCAAGCCTCTGGCATCCATCATCCGCTGAAGCTCCTGCCGCCATGCCAGCTCGTTGCATTTCGGGCTTGTAAGAAAGAACAGCCACAGCCCAGGGTGTGGTGGTGTGCCTGTAATCCCAGCTACTCTAGAGGCCAAGGCTGGAGGACTGCTTGAGCCTGGGAGCTAAAGTCTAGATGGGCAACACAGGGAGGTCCTGTCTCTAAAGAAAAACAAAAATAAAGAATGTCTATAAATGATGTCTTGGCGTTGGACATTTCAAGAATTCAGATTGAACTGTGAACCTGGGAAAAATTACCCTTTTCAGGATTCTAACAGTTGTGCTATATATTTGTGAAGCCTCTTAATAATATATGTTTGCTGTAAGTTTTTTCTCGTATCTCGAATCTATCTTGCCATTTTGTAACTAATTCTTGAGCCTTATGAATTTTATGAATTATGAATTTTGAGAAGAATAGGCCAGGCTCGGTGGCTCAACCTGTAATCCCAGCACTTTGAGAGGCTGAGGCGAGTGGATTGCCTGAGCCTGTGGGTACGAGACCAGCCAGGGCAATTTGGCAAGACCTTGCCTCTAAGATAAAAAATAAAAATAAAAAATTAGGTGTGGTAACGCGAGCCTGTAGTTCCGGCTACTTGGAAGGCTGAGGTGGAAGGATCGCCAAAGCCCAGCAGATCGACACTGGGATGGCCATGAGTGTGCCACTGCACTCCAGCCTGGGCGACAGAGTGAGACTCCAACTCAATTAAAAATCAAAATACCAAGAATTTATTTCCATGTGAAAAAGTGTTGTATATACCAAGTGTTACTTGACTGTGAGTTGCTTTAAATTTAAGAGTTTAAGTACCTGGGTGAGGTGGCTGCAGCTGGTCTACACAAAGATGGGCCTGGTGTCATGAGTCCCAGGGAGCATGTTGGAGGGGAGCAGACCAGTCTCGGGGTGCTTTCCTGCCACAGAGACGTCCCTAGAAAGCACATCTAACCTTGGTGTCTGTGTTGTACGATATCCCCATGTTTAAAGAATTAAAAGGATCGTCACTTCTAGCAAAATTATTTCTTTTTATTTTGTCCTTTATTTCTTTTTATTGTGTCCTTTAACATTTAACCTGAGAGATTGGTAGAACTTCGTGTGTTTTTTGTTTGTTTTTGAGTCAGAATCTCACTCTGTCACCCAGGCTGGAGTGCTGTGGCACGATCATGGCTGCCTCAGCCTTGACCTGCTGGGCTCAGGTGGTCCTTCCGCCTCAACCTCCTGAGTAGCTTGGACTAGAGGTGTGCCCCCATGCCCAGGTAATTTTTCATTTTTGTGTAGAGTCAAGGTCACACTATGTCACCTAGGCCGGTTTCGAACTCCTGAGTTTAAGCAGTCCTCCCACCTCAGCCTCCCAAAGTGCTGGGATTATGGTTGTGAGCTGCCATGTCCGGCCTGAGCACGTTTCAGTGTTGGCCACATCCTTCCCAAGTGTGTTCATCACCAGCGTTACTTTGTCAACGTTCTGCTTTTCTTCAGTTATTTTTCATTTCTACATGCTTCCTGTGATAATTCCTGTAGTTGTAGGACATATTCTTGTTTTGGTTTTGCAGACAGGATCTCGCCCTGTCACCCAGACTGGAGTGCAGAGGTACAGTCATCACTCACTGCGGCCTCAAACTCCTGTCGAATGAACCTCCCGCCTCAGCCTTCTGAGTAACTAGGACTACATGCACCACCACCACGCTCAGTTTTCTTTCTTTTTTTTTTTTGGTAGAGACGGGGGTCTCACTACTTTGCCCAGCTGGGGATGCTGCATATTAAGCTCAAACATACTGATTCAGAGTGGTGCCTGGCTTTTATCTTTTTAATAAACTTGTTTTTTTTTTTTGAGTTGGAGTCTCACTGTTGCCCAGACTGGAGCACAGCAGCCGCTCCCGGCCACCGCAGCCTTGACCTGCTGGGCTCCGGCAATCCTTCCGCCTCAGACTTCCAAATAGCTGGAACTACAGGCATGCGCTACCACTCCCAGCTGATTTTTGATTTATTGTAGAGATGAGGTCTCGCCAAGTTGCCCAGGCGGGTCTTGAACCCATGGGCTCTGGCAATCCACTCACCTCAGCCTCCCAAAGGTGTGGGATTACAGGCTGAGCCACTGAGCCCGGCTATAAAATTTTATTTTGAATAATTTCAAGCCAGGCACAGTGGCTCATGCTTATAATCCAAGCATTTTGGGAGGCTAAGGCAAGAGGATTGCCTGAGTGCGCGTGTTCAAGACCAGCCTGGGCAACATGGCAAGACTTTGTTTCTACAACAAATCGAAAAATAAATTAGGTGGGCACGGTGGCACACACCTTTGGTTCCAGCTACTTGGAAGGCTGAGGTGGAAGGATCGCCTGAGCCTAGCAGGTGGAAGCTGCGGTGGCCACTGTGAGCATGCCACTGCACTCCAGCCTGGGCAACAGAGGGAGACTCCAACTCAAAAATAAGTAAATAATTTCAAACTTACAGAAACATAGAGTACAGAAATATGGCAGGAAACAGTTTTCTTTCTGAGTCATTCTGGGAGTAAGAGGCAAGCTGATGTCCCAACGTCCTGATCACCAGAACCTTCACCACACAGACCCCCCCCGGCCTGCAGTCCCGAGGGCACCCTTCCTTCGGTCTGGAGCAGTTCAGGCTTGTGTAACCTTTAAAGATGGCAGGTTGTTGTGCGGACACGGCTTGGGCTCCTTGGCGTCACTTCACCACTGGCTCAGGTGACGCCAAGGGATGCCGTGACCCTCCCGTTGCCTTGTGTCGGGTGATGTGCGATCCTGAGTGTTCCCACCGTGGGTGGCATCACTGTTGAGATGGGCCCGCCAGGCTCCTCCACTAGGACGTGACTGGTCCGCGCTGCGCAGGGCAGTGCCTTGAGACTGTGCGTCCTGGTCCTCCTCACTCCTCACTGGCTCTGTGTCGCCTGTTCTCTTGGCTGGCTGACGGCTGTGATGGTGGCCACAGTGCTCCTTCTGCACCTCGTAGTTGATGTTCTCCCACCAGGATACCTTTCTCTTTCCCCTCCCGTTTACTTGTCTCAGTGTGGACGAAGGAAGTTGTTTCTTCAGTGGTATAATCCATTGCTGTGACTTCAGTGCTGACATTGTCCCGGATTTTGGGACCTTTGGACATGGCCCTGTGAGTTCTTCACAACAAAGCTGTTCCAGCTCATCTGTGCTTCTCTGCTTCCGTCTAGAATCAGCCATTTCCCCAAGGTGTTCTGGTTTCTTCTGGTGGAGAGAGGTGTTTAGGAGCCAAGGCTGAGCACTGGGGTGGCGCATTGCTCCTGGGCTGTTCCCGCTCTCAGGGGCGGCAGCGCCGGGACCCCTGCACATATTTACACACACATGCGTACATCTGTGTTCATGTGCTTACGTGTATGTTGAAAACTCCAAGTTCAGGCCTGCGATTTCAGTCCAGCACCACCATGTCTATCCTGTTTTCTCCTTGTCTGTACTGACAACTTCCTTCAACAGTAAGGAGCTGGGGTCCCATGGCCTTCATGTGTTTGTCTGGCGGGTCAGCCCCCTCCTGGATCACCAGCCTCACATGGATGCCCTCTCTGCTGGGCTCTGACACCCCCCACCAAGCACTATGCCATCCCTCCCATGCGCACATCCCACCCTGCCCTGGGGCCAGCTCCCCTAGGTTGCCACCACTGCTGTGCCTCTGTGCCAGTATGTGCCTTGCTTGGCTCCACCTAATGGTTTTTTTTTTTTTTTTAATGTAGAGCTGAGATCTGTCTCTGTTGCCCATGCTGGTCTTGAACTTCTGGACTCAGACAGTCCTCTCACCTCTGCCTCCCAAAGTGCTGGAATTGTAAGCGCAAACCACCACACTTGTCCCCTAATGGGTCTTAAAAGGTGGGAGGAGGCCAGGCACAGCGGCTCACACCTGTAATCCTAGCCCCTTGAGAGGATTGCCTGATCCCAGAGGTTGGAGAACAGCCGGGGCAGCTTGGCAAGACCTTGTCCCTACAGTAAATCAAAAAATTGGCCAGGCATGGTTGTGAATGCCTGTAGTTCCAGCTACTTGGAAGGCTAAGGCGGAAGGGTCACCTGAGCCCAGCAGGCCACGGCTGTGGTGAATGTGATTGTGCTACTGCACTCCAGCCTGGGTGACAGTGAGATTCTAACTCAAAAAAAAAAAAAAGAAGAACAAGAATGGTGACTGCCACTCACCTTGAGACGAGCACAGCAGCCGGTGGTGTGAAGCCGTGCTCAGAGGCCGTGCCCATTCAGTGTACCAGTCATCCTGAGCACGAGGGCTTCCCGTGAGAGGGCCTTGCCCCCCTTCTGGTGTGGGCCCTCTGCAGCCTGGCCCCTGCTTGTGTGTGGAGCCTGTGCCCTGGGGCTCTGGTTAGAAAACCAGGCCTTGGAAACGGCCTGGGAGAAGGGAAGCCCCACGCGCTGGGACACCCTGCTTCCATGCAGCCGATTCCCGTCTTTGCTCCAAGACTCGACTGTGGTGGGAGCGGGGGTTCTCTGTGGCTCAGAAGCGGTGCTCAGGACAAAAGGTTTCTTCACGCCATCCACAAAGGCCTGTTCTTTGCTCTGTGGCTGCAGCTGCTGTGTTCTGGGTCCGGCTGCATCGATGCGCTGTAGCTTTGAATATGCTTCTGTGTGTGGCCCGCAGGTTACAGCGGGGGACCCGCGGCTGATGGGTGGAGGTGGTGCCGACAGCGAGTTCCAGGCAGACTCGCAGTGCCAGGGGCCCTCATTTTATCTGAGGGAACGTCGGGGTTCCAGATGAGATGTTGTCTCTGGCTTCAGCGGGACACTCTGCAGATGTCAGGACGAATAACCACGGGCCGATTCCACACTCCATGGGCTGAGACACCATGGCCTTGACCAAGCCTGGGGGGAAGTGTCTTCACCCTGGGACGAGCTCCAGGTGGTCTTCATTCCCTTACTCCCACCTAGCTCTGAGTTTGGGCCTTGTCATGACGCTGTAAGATGTGTCCAGCAGAAAGCCCAGGGAAGACAGCTCTTTCTCAAGTGGGAGGAAGAGGAGGAAGGCCGCAGCAGGACAGGCTCTGGGACTTCCCAGGCTCAGCGTAAAACAACACCAATGCCTTGTGAAAAAACTGCCAAGAACTCAGGCCTGTGGTCAGTGGTAGGCACGTTACTGTAATCCCAATGCCTTGGGAGGCCAAGGCGGGAGGATCACTTGAGGCCAGGAGTTTGAGACCCACCTCTGCAACACAGTGAGACCCCAGCTCTTAAAATGCGA